GGTTCACAGTTTCAGAGCCTGAGGCAAAGCAGAACATCATGGCAGAGGGCACGGTGGGGGACAGCTGCTCAACCAGGATGGGTGGGGGAGACATAGTCCCCAAGGGTGTGTTCCCAGTCACCTGCTTCCTCCACTCACACCCCACCTGCTTATAGTTTCCACCACATCCCAGGAGTCCATTCAAAGTATTAATCCATCAAATAAATCGATCAACTGATAAGGTCCAGCTCTCCTGTTCCAAGCATTTTCTGAAAGCCCACCTCTAGACATTGCTGCACTGGGGACCACGCCTTCAACACATGAAGGGGGTGTGGGCAGAGGCACAAGTCTTCTTGAAGAAGTGAAATAGTTTTTACAGACAAAGGGCAGAAGGGAGAATTCTCTGGAGAAATCGGCCTCATGCATGGAGGCAGGGAGAGATCTCTTTTTTCTTTGGTACTGGGGATTGAATCCAGAGACACTTTACCACTGAGCTGTACATCCCCAGTCCTATTTATTTATTTATTTATATTTTGAGACAGGGTCTAAGTTGCTTAGGGCCTAAGTTGCTGAGGCTGAGTGATCCTCCTGCCTCACCCGCTGAGTGGCTGGGATTACAGGTGTGCACCACTGCACCAGGCTGGAGACATATCTTTCTGCAGGCTCATTTTGAGGGCAGACAAAGATGAGGTTGGACTGCATAAGGGCCAGATCCCATCCTACACAATATAGGATTCATTGTAGCTAACATTTTAAATTACATAAAAGAGCAAAATTGAGCCTTTAGGTCAGAAGTATGTATTTTTGGCTTCTCACATCTCCTGGTACACCTATCAGTTGTGGCCCAGAAACTGCCCACAGCTGTACAAGCTGGCTCATCTTGCTAACCTCCCCCTCCTAAGCTTCCCTCAGGAAGAGGAACCCCCAGAATCTTGGAGGAACTGCTGTTGAATACAGTAGACAAGGGAGCCACGTGGCACAGAGTGAACTGAGGTGGACACAGCAGTGCACCGCCAGGTCGGAGGTCTGTCTTCAAGGAGGGCCTTGCTGGGGGGAGAGGAGCGCCATGAGCACACGGGCTCCACTGGCCACAGCCGCAGGGGCCGGCTCAGTAGACAGCCACTATGCCCCACACCATGCTACTTCTGGTGGCTATGTTCAAAAGGCACAAAGCCCAGCCATCTTGTCCCAGCACTTAACCCTTCCAAGGGGCAATACTCGCTGCCGAGTTCCGCACTGGGTTGGCTGAGGTTTCCTCTGATCTCAGTGCAGTTCAGTTTCTCCCTCTGCCCCACCCTGCTTCCTCCCCACCACTTCACAGGTGTTGTCCTCTAATAAACACTGCACACTGCACACCCCAAGCTCCTCTCAGTGCCTTCTGGGGAATCCAACCTGTGGGGCTAGGCCTCTTGCTTCTAATCCATCCTCCCACTAAAATCCAGAGTTTGTTTTTGAAAACACAGCCATATCATCTCCAGGCTCAACATGTCATTTTTTTCTACATCCATGTACCAGATATATTCCTCCTTTTTCTCATTGTGTAATAGCAGACCTGCCTTCTTCTAGAGATCAGGGCCAATTACCCTGCCAAAATGAAGTCACTCTCTGCCTGTGGTCCCTGGTCACGGGCAACCTAAAGATCCTACCTCATAATGCAAAAGGCCCAGGAATTCCCACTCTGCAGCTCAAAGATAAAGGGACAGAAAGAGAATTAGTGGCCATGACAGTGAGTTGGGCTACTTGGTCCACTTCATGCTACTTAGATCCAGGTGTCCATCCTTGGGGGTATAGTAATGGAGTCCTTGATTCAATGCATACACTGACTCTTGCAGAATGTCACTCATGCTCATGGAGTATTGTTCATGTCATCAGTATACCATTCCGGTGTCTTTCAGATAGTGCATTATGTGCAAATCACTAAATCCCATTTTCATGGGCTCATTGTCACCCCACCTATGGCTGTCAAGTTGGTTCTCTGGTCTGAGGTGGTGTTATATGGAACCCCACAACAGTGGATCCAACATTCTCTAAGCCTTTGGAAGGTCCTTCAGGGTGAAGCTCTGATTAGGAAGAGCAAATGTTTGCCTGTTCTTGTGAGAATTAAGAACAAGCTGCTGGGCCTTCCAGGAGGGCAAGGTCTCATTTTGCTGATAAGACTTGGCTGGTTGGTTTTCTTGAGAAATTGTGTCATGTTGAGGACTTTGGTAGCAGCAGTAGACACATTAGTGTCTTACTAAATGACACTGTCTGCTGTTGCCTGTGAATAGTTACTCTGCCACCACAGCCACTTTGTTCATCTAACCATTGTGTCAACATTGGAGTGGCCAATGACAGAGGCTGGCTGAATCAGTGGGTTGAGGCACCACTTGGCTATTCAGTTTTTTTGTCAGTGATAGCTGCATGACTTTTGGCAGGATAAGAATCTTTTCCTGCTTCTGTAAGTCTGTCCACATACCTCTACCCCAGACTCCCTTCCCTGATCTACTTTTTCTGACCAGAAAGATGGGCCATTTGCCACTAATATACAGACTTTAGGTCATTTCTTTTTCCCTGAGTGGAGGGGAGGTGCTCTATTCAAAGCTCTGACCTCCGGGAGGATTGTTTTCTGTTTTTGTTTTTACTACCATCTGATTTCAGCTTGCATCGTTCCCGTGTACTAAGGATTTTTTTCCTTTTCTTTCAGCAGGTCTTATAGGATCCCCCATAATGCCATCGGTGTGTCCTGAGGGAGGAGCTCTGGTGCAATAATTTGGCAGGTGACAGGGAGGTTTAGATATCTGCTTATGCCCTCTGATCCTGCTCGTGCTCAATCCTGGAAGTATCACTTCCATCTTATGGTGGATTGTGGCTGGATCTGCTGATGGGAAACAGCATTTGTTGGGAAGTTCTAGTCACTAGGTCCTTGGTGACCTATGATCAGACATTCTATACCAGGTTAGGAGTTGTCTTTCAAAGGTATACAATTCTTCACTGCATGGCACAGTATTGCTCTGAAGCCTGAGGGACTTGCAGTATGAGAGGCTTTCACTAGGGCTTGCCACAACTCTATACTTTCCCACCATTTATACTTCCACAGGGTCTGTAGAATCATAAGCTGCAGGATTGCTTGCATGAAAGCCTGGGCCAACTGCAGAGATCTTTCTTGTTCTGGATTCAAAGATGGGTCCCAGAACAAGAAAGAGCAAGGATGGTGTGGAATGTTAAGAACTTGAGGCTTATCTATGCTGTGCCACCTTCTTCATACCAGGAGGTACAATTTAATAATTGCTTTGGGGATGATGTCTGATTACTAGACCCATGAAAACATTGACAGGTTTAATTTTCAACCCTCTGGCTCATGCATATCTTACTTGTCTCCAGCATGCTAGCCACCTCTTGCTCAACCCACCCAATTAACAGTGTCATTGATGTAATCAATGTGATATTCTGAGGATGTTCATCCGGTCCAGATCTCTTTGGACTTATCATGGCTCTTTGGAGCAAAACTATTAATGTATATTGTTATTTTCATGGAAATGTGAACCATTTCTGATTGTTTTGATTAGAAAAGAATACCACATCTGGTGCTGCATCTAATCACTCCTCCTAATTCATTTAGTTTCTTCAGGGACCAGATTTGTATAAGATGTATCATTTCTATTCCTCTACCTCTTCCCGCACAATATGGCCCACCTCCCTTCCTGCACTGTTGCCACTTCCCTGACTGGAATTTCAACTTTGCTCAGCCCAGGTCATCACATTTTCCGTGCCTCCAGGGGCCACGTTAGTAAAAGTTTGTACCAAATCCTGGGATCCTAGCTAGGGAGTTAAATTCTGTGTCTCAGGGGAACACTTCCATATAAAATACTGTCCTCTATCAAACCTGCTCTGCTCTAGTATTTGTTTCTTCATAAAGAAACTGCAATGATTCATTAATCCCCATGAAACTTCAATGCTATCTATTTGGAAAATGTAAGACTACAGGCATTCAGTGTTGAGTATGTTATCAAACTGTAGAAAGAGTGTTCAGTATCAAGTGATTCATATTCATAGCCTATCTTGATTTTGGCTTGGAATCTCCATATTAATTACATTATTGTTCAGCCTATGTAGAAATATAGGAAAAACAGAGCTTCTGGTATTAAAATAAAATAAAAAGTACCCCCCGCCCCTGCACTGGAGACTGAAACCACAGGTGTTTTTTCATGAGCTACATCCCCAGCCCTCTAATTCTTTTGAGACAGGGTCTTGCAAACTTGCCCAGGCTGGCCTTGAACTTGTGATCCTTTTGCTTTGTGTGCCACTGCACCAGGCTCCTGAAAAGGCTTTAATGCTTTACAAATAAATTACTTTTCTCTTTTCATTTTTGGAATATTCATCTTATGGTCAGGTAATTTTATAATTTTTTCTAGACAGATCTTGGAAGTACTAATTAGTTGAGGAATTCAGCAGAAAATGCTATGCTCCCACATAGGGCACAGAAATGTTGTGACAAGTGTCCAGCTTTCCAAGATGTAATTAAACATATCATTTCACCTCAGATTCTTTGTTTTGTGAGTTATTAAAAAAAACCCACCAAATTTGTTGGATTAATCTCATTGCTTTAGAGTCATATCTCACGTAAAAGGCCCTTTAAAATTTTTAATTTAGTAAAATAGTTTTTTAAAAAATTTCACCATGGTAGTCTGTTTTCCCTAAACTTATATGCTAGTAAGTCCCAAGGGAACCAAGTTCAAGAATTTAAAACTCTCAGGCCAGGCATCATGGCACATGCCTGTAATCCCAAAGGTTTGGGAGGTGTTTGTTGCTGGTGTTGCAGGAGGATTGTGAGTTCAAAGCCAGCCTCAGCAAAAGTGAGGCACTAAGCAACTCAGTGAGACCCAGTCTCTAATAAAATACAAAATGGGGCTGGGGATGTGGCTCGGTGGTCAAGTGCTCCTGAGTTCAATCCCTGGTACCAAAAAAAAAAAAAAAAAAAAGACTCCCAGAGAGAAAAACACAGTAAGACAAACCATTCACTAGTGACAAAGGAGTCAGCAAACTATTGGAAAACAGAGAGCTTGTAATAATGAAAAAAGGACAAAGTTTTGTAACCAATCACTTATTTTCTTTTAAAAACACATAACCACATTAACTTTTGCTTTATACAACCATCTAGAAACTATAAAACAGTACCACATTGTGCATTTAACCTACTTATCAAGAAGGGAAATCCACGTCTTAAGAATTCTACCCATATAAGAAGGAAAAAGGAGACAGCTAAGAGCACAGTCACAGATACATCATGGTCCAAGCAAGCATCAGTTCTTTGACGTCACCTTTTCCATTTACTAGAGTGGAGAGTAAGAAAGAAAGCAAGGGAGAAAAAAGAGAGAAAGAAAGAAGCACCCACAGAGGACTAATCACAATCCATAGTTACTTTGACAAGGGTAGTTCAGGGTTTCATAGTATCATTTACCACACAGCGTGGAGGAGGTTGGGTATGTGAAGGAAACAGAGGGAGGGGGTCTGAAAAGCAAAATACATTTTCCCACCCCATTCCTCTCCTAAATACTCTTCATTGATACAAGCTTCTGTGCTAATGCAGAAAATGGCAAGAAATTAATCTTTACAATCTGATAAAGCTTAGTTTTGTAGTAAATGAACTGAGTGGCTCACAATTTTACCGCACAGTTTGGAGCAATAAGTGTCATGAATAATTACTCTTCAGTGATTTCCCACAATTTCTCCCTGTTCCCACCATGCTGGTGTTGCTACAGACAATCAGGAAAATGCAGGCAGGGATCTGAGGTACAATCAAGGGACAGTGAGGTGGAATCCTTGCTCTCTCTTAGAAGTCCACATCTATCTAGTAGTACTGCAGTCTGTCCTCTGATTTGCCATGGTATAGAGAAAAGAGAATAGAAGGCAAGTAACAACTGTTTTGAAGGTACACAAGGTGAAACTGTGTAGCTAGCAGACATACTGAATCCAAGGCAGACAATAGGTTATTTGATTGTCTTTCGGTTGATGGCACCGTACAAAAAAACTGAAGGTAGCATTGATTTAATAATAAATAGGCCAAAGTTTTGCTACAAGGAAACACACTTCAAAGGAAAATTAGCATAACAATTTTCTCCCCTTCAGGGAAAACTCTTGTCCCTCATGCTTCCTCTTCCACCCTAAGTAAGAAAGATTGTTCTGAAAGATTGTTTCTGAGGGGCAACTCAGTGCCAGAGTTTTGACAGTCGGTAAAAGAAAGGTTTCAGGAGCCATACCAATCAGCAGGTTCTTTCCCATTCCCAGGCAAGATCCTATGTTGCTTAACTTAAGCTTTTCCAAACCTAATGAGATGCTTTTACTTTTTCATATTTGTTGACTGGTGTGTGGTTAATGCTGGTTAGAAATTGTTCATCCGTAACACTGAACAGCAGACACTTCTTATGCTATAATACAATTAACTCTAACCCATATCACCATTGCCCTAACAAAAAGACTTGAAATACAATACAGAAAGTCAGGAGCTTTTAAGATTTAGTATCAAGACTGACATTTGAAATGCAGAAGTGTATGTATAAGTAATTGAGAAAACTTTAAAATAACGAGCAAAAAAAAATTTATATCAATGATGAAAAAAAAACTAAGCTGATGTAATTTATTTTTCTTTACCTTTTCAAAAGTCCTACCAAAACTTCTATTTCACCTGGTCACTTTAGATATTATCTGTAATGTACTGGTTTCTTATTAGATTTGAGAAAAGTATGGTGATTTTTGTAGTTGAGAAAGCCACGGATTCAACATGATTTTGCTTTAACCTAAGAAGCTATTTTAATTTTAAAAATTCAGTATGTTTTTTATAGTAAGAAGTACTTATTTTTTGAAAATTAGGCACCTTTTATGCAAACTGTTAAAATAACAATAACCTGAAACGTGTTTATCAAATATAGTGGTAATCATTTCCAAGAATCCCAAGTTTCTGAATAAAATAACACTATGGATAGGGTTATTTTCTGAATTCTTTTCTTTAGAATAAGAAAATGTTCTAGTTACCTGCTTAGAAAATTTCACGTGGGGATAAAGAACAATTTCGTGAATAATGCAAAGTAATGGAAAATAATGATAGGAGAGTAAAGGCAGCTCTTTCTGGGCAGTGTAACAACTCTTGGTGAGGGATGGAGATTAACACCTGCATACTAAGCTCACGTACCTCCCACGCCACCCTGCTTCTGCTGCCAAGGGCCAATATCCTCTTGTATTTTGCTATTTCCAAAATTAATTTACTCCTCTTCAACTAAAGGTCTGTTAATCTGCTGACTATTTGACTCAGTACCAGGTGACTTTCTTCTATTCTTATCTTGCCTTAGTTTATCACTTCAGAAATGGATGAATTGTTTTCTCTGGTTGTGAATGTACTTCAGTCAAACCATGGTGCAAAGATACAATGTATCAACAAATTGCCATAGTAAGAGCTCAGTTAAATAGTAGAAATCTCACGTCTAGTATATTTAGGAATTGTGGATCCCCATTCTCCTTCCTTAAGGGTTTATACTGGTCTCTACTGGCATTCTCCTCCTACACCCTTGCTTCTGAATCTGAACTTAAGCAGTTCACTTAAGGAGTCTAACAACAAAGTACTGGAAAAGAAGGTTGCAGGTAGGGTTTCAACTTCTTTCCAAATTAAAAATTACCATCATGATTAATGATGACTTAATCTTTGAACATTTTATTCTCTCTATATGATATGAAATTGCCAATTATTTGTTATAATGGTATGGGCAGTCTTAAATATAGGCACTCATTTGTGCATAACAAATAAACCACTTTGCTGTTTTTCCATTTCTCTATGTACATCAATGCTTTCCATATTATCATAAAATAAAAATGAATTTTAATTTTTTATTAAACACTTTCCTTTTCATTATTCTGGGGTAGGATTTTAACTGATATTAAAAATTGAGTGGCTCTCAAAAATAAAACTAGAATTTTAAACCTAAAATCAGATCGAGGGCTGGGGATGTGGCTCAAGCGGTAGCGCGCTTGCCTTGCATGCATGCAGCCCAGGTTTGATCCTCAGCACCACATACCAACAAAGATGTTGTGTCCGCCGAGAACTAAAAAATAAAATATTAAAAATTTAAAAAAAAATCAGATCGAGTTTCTTTCACCTTTGGTTAGACTGTAAAATGACTCTGTGACAGTTATTTTTAAGAAAGCCATTGAGAGTTTCAGTGTACAGAAGTTTCCAGTAAAATTTTAGGTAGGACAGAGCATTCACACTGCTTAGGCATATACAACTGAGGAGAGAAAAATGAATATAGACTTTTTTGAAGGAAAAAATTTTAAATTGATACTTTGTCTTCCAAAGTCTCTTGATGAGGGAAATTCCTTTTTTCTATTTATAGCTTTAAAAGGAATGTGGAGCTGTGTGTTTAAATACATATTTGAGCATCTGTCATGATAAGCTGAAAGTTACATATGCCTATTTTTGAGTAGACTATGCCAGTAGGACAAATGCAGCAGAGAATACATTTTATCATTGTATTTTATATTAAGAAGTAATGTGGATATGAGAGCCTAGAATCATAGGAGTTGGAGAAAGACCGAAATAGCTATAGGATACACTGAAGTAGAAACACTGGGGGATTGAAATACCAGAAGCTAAGTGTAAGATTGTGTGTGTGACACCATCTAAATTTACTAATAGAGAATGAATCTGACAATTCAAATGGCTCTGGATACACATGAATATCACCAATTTTATTTGTATAAGAGATGACTGGTCATTGGACTTTCTCTATATCCTCAGGATAATTACTGCTATTGGTTGACAGACCAGTGATATCTCCCTCATAGTTTTAAGGTACAAAACCCAGAATAATCAGGGGAGAAAAATCCTAAATAGAAAAATGCAGTCTTTAATCCAACAAGGATCACTAAAGTGGTACCACTGGTTATTATCAAGGATTCAATTTATTTAACTTTTTTTTTTTTTTAAATAAGCACTTTCTTTTCAGTTTTGGGACAAGGGGCATACTTGGCAAAACAAACAAACAAAAAAAAATAGAGGCCACAAAATTGGATGATTTTTTTTTTCCAGAAAAAAAATATCTTGATTCAGAAAGGGAACAAAGGGAAATTTTGGAGAGTTGTCAGAATAAAGGTGGAAGAAACTCCTTTTAAAAGAAACTGTCAGTTAATTAGAATAATTTTGGTAATAACAGTGACTTTAATGTTATCTACTGGAATTATGACAAGGGTTGAGTAAAGATTTATTTTGCACACTAGAAGAGCTGGTGACAAAAGGGGTGAACTAAAGGGCAGTAGCCATTTGTTTTTAAGACAAAGCAAGTGACAACAGCTGCCTTCCTACTTATTTGTTCCTTTGACTTAAATGAAGCTGAAAATGACAGAAGTAAGTTCAAGTCTACAGATGGTGACTCTGGAATCTTCACCTGTGTCTTGGAGGGGTAATTAAAACACACTTTACTTTTTCCTGGTATTTATGTTAATTTTGTTAGATAATGAAATGCTATTTTTAACTATTTTTGCCAGGCTGGAGACTGAGCCCAGGGTCCTGTGCATGCTAGGCAGACATTCTACCACTGAGCTACACTCCTCACCAGGCCTGAGATGATAGATTTAATGCTAATTATATTCAAGAAAGTAAAATGCCTTATAGTTTCAGGGCTTAATTTGGGAAGAAAGGGAATAAATGAGACAAAAAAGTGAAAATGGGCACTGCATATAGACTATCATAGACTGAAATTTCTAAGAAATATATGTTTTATGTCTGACTAGTTTTAGGCCCTCAAAAATTTTAAAGCAGGCTTCTATCATGGGAGGGCATGAAATTCCTGCATTAACACTGCTGGGAGAAATGGCTGCCAAGATCTTCTGTATAAATGTAATATGAAGGAGGAAGGATAATTTGTTTCACATGCTCAAAAATATCCCATTAATGGACTTTTAATTTGATCAGACTCTGGCTTAAATGGGTGAGACCAGAGGAAAAATTGTCTAAAAAGGGAGTAAAATAGCCCTGCTTTCCAGAGTTAGTAAAGATTACACTACAATCACCCTACATGCTGAAGCATAATAAAGTGTAACTTCAGTTATTATGGTTGGAATATGAGTAAATATTCCTAAACGAAAATGTATCAGATTCTCTTATGTGAATTTCAATCAGTGGGGTAAAAGTGTGTGAAATACGTGCCTTGTTATGAGAGATACTCTACAGCAGCAGCAACTTAAAATTTTAGTAATAAAACTTTGGCTTAAATTGAAAAGAAAAAAAAAAAAAGTCAAACTGGTGCAAGTTGTCTCCCTAAAGAGGTATGTGGAACTGACCCTCATAAATGTCATCCACATTAGTTTCCCCCATCTTCTTTCACTGTTATCACTTTCATTGCACAGGAGTTATAGCATTCTTTTATGGTTAATTTCATAAATAATGAGAAAACTATATGTAACAAATACATCATATTTCCCACCCACCCAGCAACCCTTCCCAAATAAGAAAAGTTACATCAAATTAAAAAGTAGCTTCATGAATGAAGGTACTGCTCCAAGTTGCACTTTCCCTGCAAGTGCAGCCAGTGCCTTTGCGCTGGGTATGAAGGAAAGGAAAAAGATTCTCCACATAAACTGACAAAAAATTTAAAAACCAATGTCCGGTTTCAACCAGTCAAAACCGGGCCAAGCAGAAGCCAAGCTATCTCAGTACCATCCCATCAGAAGGTCCTTGCAGTGCCTGTTCTTCCTGATAGGTATCTGTGTCCTTGTGATTGTAAACAATCCATAAGGTACAATGTTTTTGTTTCTTAAAACGTCCTCTGATTGGCAAAATGAAGTAAATATTTGTTTTAAAAATAGAAAATTAAAATTAAACCAGAAGAAAAGAAAAGAAACACAGTGAGCTTGTTTGGAGTCCATAGGATCCGATCTGGAAGAGCTCGGAAAATGTGTTACGTGTTTTCTCCTGTTTTCAGCTGGAAAAAGGTACTAGAGGTTGCGTTGGTCGAGGAAAGAATTGTAGAGTAGGAAAACCAAGGATGTTAATCTAGACTTCAGAGAATTCAAGTGTTAGCTTCATCATCTGTGTCTTCTATCAATACCTTAGTGTCACGAGCCTTGGATCTGGTGGTAAAAAAGGGAAAGAAAAGCATTTAGTTCATTACTACATTATAAACACACTCACAATGTTAGGTACATTTCTAATCTCACCACCATTAATATATATCCTAAACAGGTACCATCTATTGCACAAGATGATCTATTCCTGAAGTTATATGCTCAATTTCTGGCATTATTAGAAAAAGAGGAATGTAATAAGAACAATAGCAGGACATGTTTAACAGAGAAGAAATTTGAATAGGACCATCTGAGTTTGAGCACTGACTTTGATTTATGACATTAAATTCTTTTGAGTGCCCCTTTCCATATCTCTAAAGAAGGAATAAAAATAACTATTTCACTTAATATCCCTTTTACCTTATGTTCAGTATGCATATCAGGTGAGAAAATAGATGTAAAAATCAATAAAGCATAAACAAATAAATCAAAGACCTAAGGAAAGGCATGATAGCTGTTTGTCTTTAAATAGTTGGCAAAGCCTGATGCAGAAGAGGGAGGAGACTCATGTGAGAGAGCCCAATGAGAATCAAACTGATGAAGTCATAGTTTAATCATAAGGACATACATTTCAACCCAATATAATCTATCCACTGCTATAATTATCCAACAATAAAACCAGGTCCCTCAGATTATTATACAGTTCATTACCACTGTTGATTTTCAATCAGCATAAAATGATCATCTATTCATTTTATACAGAAGGGATTTCTAAACTGGCTGAAATATGGGACTAGGTAACATTAAAGTATTCTGGAACTTCTTAAGAGTCCATGAAGTCAAGTAGCAATTGGGGAAATAACAGTTAATATTCCTACTTGACAGAAGGGGAAATTTACATTCAAAAGGTTAAGGATGTGCTAAAGGTTGCATGAGTCATAAAGTCAGAACTAAGATCTTATTTTAGATTTCCTTCTCTCTCTCCATCACACATAACCTATTCCAATCTAAATGTCTTTCCTTGGTTGCAACCTAAATTCTCAACGTTTTCCCACTAAACACCTGAAATTGAATATTATTTATTGCCAAAGGGTCTCTGTGTTTTTCAAACAGAAATAGTGTATGTTCAGATTGCCCTCTGCTGGTAACTAATAAGGATTAGACTTTCAAAACCAGGAGCTCAACAAGACTCTATATGCAGCATTTTCTTCCAGCCTGCTGTGCTACTTACCTTTCTTCTATGAAAAAAATGTGGTTTTCCCCCATGTACGAGATCAAGCTTTTACTTTTTGATCTTTGATGATATTTCATCTAGTCAACTAAAATTTTCTCATTATAGTTCTGTCACATGGTTTTCCTTTCTGCCCCTTGTTTCTACCTTGATAGTCTTCACGGAGTCTCTAGCCTATTCAAACACTCCTTATCCGTCTCCAAACTGCTGCTCATGCTTAAATCTCTTCCTTCATTTCAGTCTACTGTGCTATCCACTATCTCTAAACTTCAAATGCAGTCATCATATATCCTACATTTATTATTTCGGGAACATACAAAGTCAATGACTGATAAAAATATTGTAGGTATTTAATAAGATAAAATAGTCATTGCTTATATTTATTGGGGACTTTCTGTGAAGGAACTGGAGTAAGTTCCATGTGATAATGAACTTAATCCTCTTAATCACTGTATGAGCACAGGCTGTATTAGTCCCAATTTATAGAAGAGAGATAATATTAAGGAATTTAATCAAGGCTACAAAGATGACACGATTCCTACAGTTTATAACTGTATAAATTTTATACAAAACTACTGAAGAGTCAAGTAAATCCTTCCCCAACAATTTTGTCCCCAGTGTACCTTGTAATGTCCATTAGTGCACTAATAACATTTACTCTTTTTTAAGAAATATTTTTTAATTGTAGATGTACACAACACCTTTATTTTGTTTATTGTTAAATGGTATGGGATTGAATCCAGTGCCTCATGCATACTCAGTAAGTGCTCTACCCCTGAACCACAGCCCGGCCTTATATGAGCTAAAACATTCTGTAAGTTGGATCATATGAAACTGCTATTACTATTTTTTGTAGGTGAACAATGGTTAAATGCCTGTAATTTCATTCAGGCATTTAACCATTGTTAATTTGATAGCTTCTTAGTCTAATGTTACTTAATGCTAAAAACCAGAGGAATGCCTTACACTAGTAGCAGCTATACATACTGAGAAGCGAGGCGAGGCCGGCGCAAGGAGATGCTCTGGTTGTACTTCCATGACCGATTCTTCTGGCGGTTTCGTACCCCATCATCCTGATCCATCATCTGTTCTAGGAGTGTCTGATCATCTGCGTTCAGGGGGGCCACAGAGATGTCTCGCACAGCACGAAATTCACCACAGTTATTTAGATGTTCATTTTCCAAGCGGAAAAAGTTCCACACAAACCGCCTTAGCAAAATGGGGTAGAGCAAACACACTAATTATAAAAGTTGAATATACTACTACTATCTGGAAAGCTCCCAGAATATCAAGTTTTTACTGATGAAAACAAAAGAAGGAATTAAGAGCTAGAATATTTAAATGAAATGGAGAAAGGCAGCATAGAGGTGGGAAAATAAGAGTGGACTATGCAAAAGGAAAGCAGTTTTAGACTACTCATTCTTTCACTTCATCCAACAAATATTTACTGAATGCCAACTGCAAGGGAGGAAAAGGCATTGAATGAGATAGATAAAACCTTTGTTCTTATTTTACGGTGAAGACAGATATAAAAATCAACTGATGAAAAGCTGGGGAAAGTAAAGCAGGAAAAGGGCACAAAGTGTGACATATGGCTGGTGAAGGAGAGTTGTATGCATCTAGCAAAAAATCTGAATATAAGTAAGCAAGTCATGGAGAAAAATATCCTCATTGTGGGCCTGCTCTTAAGAGTATACTGGGATCCCTGCTGCTTTCCTTCTCTTTCTCTGCCTTCCGTCTGCCTGGAGGTGAACAGCTTTGCACCATCACATGCACCTGCCCATGTTCTGCCTCACATTCTGGCCTGGAAACCATGGAGTCAGGTGACAGAAATCTCTGAACCATGAGCCAAAATAAATCTTTCCTGATTTAAGTTGGCTTTTGTCACAAGTGTAATAGCTTTAACTCTGGGAGACTGTCTAGATTCAAATCATGGTTCTGCCACTTACTAGCTATAATGATCTTGGATGAGTTTCTTAGCCTATGTTTCAGGGTCATCGGTAAAATGGGATAATGAAAGCTACTTCATAACACTGTTGTGAGGATTCAATAACTTATTAATTATAAAGAGCTTAGAACAGTGCCAGAGACATAACTGGTACTACATATAGCGTTTGCTCTATCATCATCATCATTAGTACAGTTATTAATAAAAATGGTATAGTTTGAATATTGGGAACAAATACTTGAATAGCAGATGATAAAAATGGAGAGAGAGAGAGGGAGTGGAGACAGGAAGTGTAGACATTTCTTGAAGAATTTTGTCATAAAGAAGAACAGATAGATGGGCAAAGTTAGAGGGGGTAAGAAGATTCTAAAGTGTTTTGTTTTTGTTTTAAATGGGTGACAGAAAATTAAGCAAATGAGTTCTTTACATTTTTTTTAAAAATTTTCTTTTTTATTGTTGCATTTGAATTATACAGAATTATGGGTTTCACTGTGGATATTCATACATGCAAATAACATACTTTGAACATATCCACCAAGCAAATGATTTCTTAAAAAAGACTACCAAGAATTTAAAAAAAACTTAAAAAAAATTAAGATATATATTTTTTTAAATTTACAAAGTAGCATATGAAAAAAAGAAGTGGGTGGAAGAGATGGTGGCATGATGTAAGATTCAGGCCCTAGACCTAGATATTTGGGAGAGTCAAGAAGGGAAGGAAGGGGAAAAATGGTCTGGAGAGAACACTGACAGCTACAAGAACACTGATTCCAGAGTTATTCTTTAACTTACAGGCTTTTAGTTTTATGTTTCCAGCTTTGATTACATTTTTATCAGGCAGTGTATGCCCACCCTGACTCAGAAATGTCATACACCTATCTGAGAATATCTTAGTATCATTTCATTTGTGAAAGATTCTCATTGGGTGAAGAGTTCTCATTTTCTTTTCCGCACACTGAAGATTTTATTTTAATGATTTCTGACTTTCATTGTTGCTGTTGAGAAGTCAGCTGTTAGTCTACTGCCACTCCTTTAAAGGTTATCTTTCTGGCTGCTTTTTTTAAAATAAGCATTTTTATTTTATATAATATACATATATAAAAGTTAGTAAATCAGAAGTATGCAAGCTTAATTATCATCAAATGAAAATCTTATGTAATTAATATCTAGAAATATGAAATTTATTAATTACCATATAACTCACTGAAAGCTACCTTTAGAGCACCCTACTATGCTAACTTGATTTTGTACACAGTATACAGTAGAATTCAATATTCATTTTTTTCCATATGGATATCCAGTTGACTAATTTTTTTGAAGGGGTGGACTGGGGTTTGAACTCAGGGTGCTTTACCACTGAGCTACATTCCCAAGCCCTTTTTAAACTTTTTTATATTTTAAGACAGGGTCTTGTTATGTTGCTTAGGGCCTCACTAAGTTGCCAAGTTTAGCCTTGAAGTTGTGGTCCTCCTGCCTCAGCCTCCTGACTCCCTAGGATTACAGGTGTTAGTTGACTCATTTTTTTAAAAAGGTCTTTCTCCTATGTTATGTAGCTATCTTTGACATAAATCAGGCAGTGTCAATATATACATGGGTATAATGTCAATATATACATGGGTCTAAATTCCCTGTTCTGTTTCAGTGGACTTTCCTTTCATCAACATAGTACACTATTTTGTTCACTATAGTTACATGATCAGTTTGTATCTGAGAGTATAAATTTTTAATCTTGTTCTTTTCAGGATAGTTTTGGCTATTCTTGATTCTTTATGATTCCATATAAATTATCAATTTTTACACACATAAATTTTTCATTAGATTTATGTCTAGGTAATTGATATATTCTAATGTTATTCAAATGTATTCCTTGTATTGAGGGGTATGGAAAAATCTAATAATTTATTTGTAAATTCTTTTGAACTTTCTGTATATGTAATCATGTCAGTGAGTAGTTTTACTTTTTTCTTTCTAATCCTTATATTAACTTTTTTCCTCACTATACCAGCCATACTTAGAGTAAAATGTTAAATAGAAATGGTGATGGTAAATATCTGCCTCATTCCTAAGCTCAAGGGATATTTCATAGTGTTTTATGTGGAAAATTTTTTTCATGAACAGGTGTTGAATATTGATTAAAATTTCTTTCTTTCTTTCTTTTTTCTTTTTTGAGACAGAGCCTTATTGTATTGCCCAGGCTCACCTTGAACTCCTAAGTGCAAGTCCTACCTCAGCCTCCCAAGTATCTGGGATGATAGTCGCACAGTCCCGGCCAGGTACTGATTTTTAACAATGGCCTTTTCTATATAGAGAGAGGTTCTCTGCACCTCCCACCCCTTTATTCAGTTAAAGTAGTAAACTATATTAATTTTTGAATGTTAAGTATTATATTTCTAGATGAACCTAATATGCTGGATTCATTACCTAATATTTTATTAGAACTTTTGAGATTATACTGTGAAGACAATACAGTGGTTGAGACAGATTAGTATATTTTCTTAGAATATTTTTATAGGTTTAAGTAATAAAGTCATGCTTTTTCACAAAAACAAACTGGAAAGTGTTACCTTTTTTTGTCCTTTTTCTCTGAAGCATCTTCTTAGTAAAGAGTAATATTTCACCTTCAAATATTTGGAAGAATTCCCTGGGCCTGGAGTTTTTATTGTGGGAGGTACTTTAGTAAGAATTTTATTTCTTTAATATATTCAAGTTTACCAGCTTGTCTGTTTCTTCTTTATTGGTTTTGGTGAATTATGCTTTTTTAGGAATTTGGCCATTTTTGTTTAAATTTTTAAATTTAAGACATAAAGTTGCTTCTAATATCATCTTACTCTTTAAAAAGAAGTCTTTAGGATTTTTTAAATAATTTGGGCCTTTTTTTCTTTATCCCATCAATTTCTATTCTTCATATTTTCTTCTGGGTTTGACCTGCTGTTTTAGTATTTTTTTAAAAATTTCTTACACTATATATTTTTCCAATATACACACCCTCTAAGCCTGGCTTTAACTTCAGTTGACATTTTCCTTTTGTTATATTTTTAATTTTATTCTATTCAAGATATTCTGACATTTGCATTGCAATTTCAATTTTGATCCTCAGGTTATAAATTTCTAAATATTTGGGAATTTTACCTTTCTGTGATTTGAATCATCTGAAATCTGTTGTGACTTCTTTTATTGCGCAATATGTGCTTAATTTTGGTAAGTGTCCTCTATGCATTTAGAAAAATGTTTGTGTAGTAGTTTATGGATGCAATGTTCTATATATGTAAATCATGTTAACTACTTATTAATCTATATTAAAGGAAATACATTAAAATCTTCCATTAAAATTCATCTACCTATACTTTTTAGCAATGTCAACTTCTGCTTTATATATTTTCAACTTTTATTTTAATTATTTTCAAGATATGTTATTAGGTATATATAAATTTAAGTTGGCAATCACTCTGAATCCCAAAGCCATCAGATCTAGTAAATTTTTAGTAGTTCAAAAGTAGCTTTAGTGTTCTGTTTATCTTGGGGTTCCTATTTTCACTTAGATTTTGTGCTATTTTGGTAGATCACTGATACTTTTGGAAGACTTATTAAACCTTTTTTTTTAAATTTTTTTTTGGTTGTAGATGGACACAATACCTTTATTTTATTTATTTATTTTACGTGATGCTGAGGATCAAACCTAGTGCCTTACACATGCTAGGCAAGCGCTCTACCACTAAACCACAACCACAGCCCCCATATTGAATCTTTTATCCAGCATTTTTGCCACTTTCAAGTGAGAAAGTTTGTCTGAATAACAGAGACTACCAAATTGCAAAATATAGTCCCAAAATATTTAAATTTCTTTTTAACACCCAATTTTAATTTATCACTCTCAAATGAATTAAAAAAACTTTAAATCACCATCAATAATTATTTTAACTATAAGAATTAATCTCTGCTAGGTGTGGTGGTGCATGCCTGTAATCCCAGAGGCTCAGGAGGCTGAGGCAGGAGGATCGCGAGTTCAAAGCCAGCCTCAGCAAAAAGTGAGGTCCTAAGCAACTCTGTGAGATCCTGTCTCTAAATAAAATACAAAACAAGGCTGGGGATGTGACTCAGTGGTCAAGTGCCTTGAGTTCTATCCCCAGTACCAAAAAAGAAAAAAAGAAAAGAAAAAAAAAGAAAAAAGAATTAACCTCTAAGTCTTTTAGATAGGATTTTCCAACTCTGGGGCTGATGAGAAGTTTAAGAAAAGTTGGAAATTTAAACTTCTCAAGAATAAGTTATATTAAATTCTAATTTGTAAGTACTGGGCATCTTTTTGGTAGAAAGAATCTTTGATAAACTTTTCAATGGTTTGCTTACCGGAAAACCTCGAGAGGAGCAAAGACAGTAGCAATGATGTCCCCAGCATGAGGCAACAAAGTTGTAGAGGTAATTGAGATTTGGATAGTCCAAGCAAAGCGTAGTATCACATCCTCTATGATGGCACAGTAGTAGTAGGCCTAAGGAATAATAAGCAAATTGAGTATGTTTTCCATTATCTTTCTCACAAAGAAGCATACCTACCAAAAGACTCATGCATGTTCTACCAATAGGCATAGGTTCAAGAGGAAAAAGTTATATTCTATTTAATTTTGCATAAGTATATATTATATTTTAGGAAAAACTCATCAATTAGTTTTCTTCTTAAATGATGTGATATTCAAAACAAAATATTAATGAGTTTCAATAATCATTTAATAAATATATTTCATTCCCATATTATATACAAACTCTCTTCTAGGCTCCAGAAAGACAAGCTAGATGAGAAACTTGATCAATTGAGGTTACATTCTAGCAGCTACATGATAATGTCTTAACAGATAATATTAAGGATCATTAGCAGATTTACTAACTGTGCTTTTTGCATTTGTGTTTTCAAATTGCCTTACCTTGTATCTGAAGAAAGTTTTGCCTTGTTTTTTGCTCTAACAGCAAAAATGAAATTAAACTAGGATAAATTTTTTATTTGTTCTAATTAGTTTGGATGAGTTTTTAAAATGATCTATTTTTTTACATGGAGAACATAGTACTCTACTAATACTTCCAGGTACTCAGCATGATTTAGGATTCTAGTTCTAGCTATACAAATGTCTTAAATATACAAAATGCCAACATATATTTCAGGGATTTGCTCATTATTAATAAAAATTACCTCTTTAATACATTTATTTAAAGGTTGTGATATTTTGGGAACTAGAATTGCTATTTATTAAGATGTAATATTAATTTAATTTTAACAAAGTAATACTAGTCATTGTTAGGCTATTAACCAAAAATAACCAAAACAATTAACCTTGCTACCTTCCTTTTCCATTTTCTAGAGATGTTTTCAAAATTTGTAGTTACTCTACTAATTACCCTGTATATTTCTAAGTAATGTGTATATATGGTTTCATCTTGATTAATCAATTTTATACAATATCCATTTAATGCTGGTTATTTAGATTTTATGAGGATTTTAACACATTCTCATATCTCTGTATCCTTCCCCATCTTCTCTCTATAGTGATAATGCAATTTTTGGACAAATCCACATTCACTACATTCCTTCTAGACTTAAGCAAATAACTACAATTTCATGAACCTTTAAGAGTCAACTGATATGCTATCTATAGCTGAGTGCACTGTGAGCTTATGTTACCAAAAATGTGAGTTTTGGGAGAAAACACAAAACTTGGGATAAAGAGACACAAAACTTAAGTTTGAATATGGAGATAACAAAAATGGTTCCTGGACCTGGGTGCTCAGTATGCACTGCTAATTTCTAGGAACTAATTAATTTTTAATGAAGGTTCATTGAACTTCACAAATAGTTTCTTCACTTTTCAAGCTGGATGGATTTTTACCTCAATATTTTCCTTTTTAAAACTGAGAGGGATATGGTGATTTAACAGAACATTTTTCTTATAAATTTACAAACTAAAATACAGGAAAACATATTCTTTTATTTCCTAGCACCATGAAAATATATAATAACAAAGAAACTAAAAAGATTCTATTCACTTTTTAAAAAAATATTTATTTTTTAGTTTTAGGTGAACACAAAATCTTTATTTTATTTTTATGTGGTGCTAAGGATTGAACCCAGTGCCTCATGCCTGCTAGGCGAGCACTCTACCACTGAGCCACAACATCAGCCCTATTCATTAATTTTATTACATAGAAACCAATGTCATAATTATTTGAAAAAATTAACATTTATTTAAAGATATAAATAGTTCATCTAAGCAATCATTATAGTGAAAAACAAATATAGCTCTAAGGCAAGAATAATATAAGCAGTAGTAAAATACAACATTTTGTGTGCATAAAGGGCCAGTTTTATCTGAACTCATGCCTATTCTCTGATTACTGATTTTTTTTCAAATGAGATTTATAAAAATACGTCTGAGGTCTTGAGCATATGTAAATTTTTACATTGGGATTATTGCTATAGTTTTAGGTTTAAAAAAAAAAGACCAACATCAATGAATGCCCACGTCCATCCCCTTCATTTGCTTATCTGATGTTAACTTATATATACATCATTTATCTTTACTTTCCTATCATTTATGTTTTAATCTTCAGGCTTGAAACAGCCCTCCCTACTTACCAATTGACACATTCACATACTTTTAAAAATATAATTTTGAGTGATTGAAGACATTTTGGTATAGTAAAAAATATTTGTGGCCCAATCTATACTTTCTTATCATAGAGGAATTTCAGAACTGGAAATACCTAAAGAAATAATTTAATCTAACACTCTTACCTTTTAGAATCTTTTGTAATCTGGATGCCCAATGAGACACAATTGGTTAGTCAGAGAGCTGGGACCAGAATTCATGTGTCAGGATTCCCAATTCATTGTTTAATCTCTTTCAAGGTTACTAGAACATCTGAGTAAAGATACTTTTGGTCTTTTGACTTTTGAATTCAGCCTCTTTTGTCCTTATTTGTATGTAGGTTTAAATAAATGAAAGGAGAGTTAGGCCCTCCCTTTCCTTTGAGTGTAGAGTTAGGCCTTCCCTTTCCTTTGAGTGTCCATAACACTGCTCCTTCAGGGATGTAAACATTCATTCATTGCATAAACACTAAGTGTACCACAGACCAGGAACTATGCTTGGCAGTGAGAAATAGAGATACCTAAATAGATAATTATAATACAGTGTGATAATTGCTATAATAGAAGTTTATATAGGTCAAAAAGGACTAGTATAAATGGCTAAATATGTTAGGAAAAATAAAGGCTTTTTAGAGACAGTAACACTTAAACTGACTTAAAAAGGAGGAACAGGAATTTATAAAGCAAATAAAGAAGAGAAAGGGTACTTCAGGCAGAGGGAATTCTATCTTCAAAAACAAATCACAAACTGTAGTAAATAATTTATTCTTCTAGTCTTTATCTTACTGTGCTGCGATCTATTTATTTATCTGCTTAGATATAGCTATGGCCTCCTGGAGAACCAAAATTTTATTTTATTTTTATTTTTTATAGTGCCTCTCATATAGTAAGCATTTGATACAATTTTGCTGACTGAAAAATTTAGGTAATTATTCTTCTACTGTATTAGTTTAGAATAATTAGGGACTGGGTCTATAATTTTGATAGGACTTAACTAATGATTATTTATTTTTTAAAATTTTTAAATGAATACAAACACTTTGTACATACTTTTTGAGGGTATACAATCTCTTCTCGGAGGAAAGTGTTTTCTCCCGCATTCCTGTCAAAGAGACCCCAGTCCATCTTTAGATCCCAGATGAGGGTATAACAGGAACTAATGATATAAAAGACAATCCACAGGTAAAAGAATACCATGGTATCTGAGTGACCTCGTTCTGAAGAAGGAAAGGGGAAGAGGAGAAAAAGAGAATTACTAAAGTTAAACAAAATTCTTAACTAAATAAAACTATAATTAAACAGCTGATAATTTTTATAGTGCCCCATAAAGAAGTAAAACTTTAAATGAATCTCCTTAGTAGTATCACTGTTTAACAAAGGTTAAATAATACCATTTGTTCCCCTGTGGTCCAAAGTAATCATAAAATAATCAATGGGGCTGGGGATGTGGCTCAAGTGGTAGCACGCTCGCCTGGCATGCGTGGGGCGCTGGGTTCAATCCTCATTACCACATAAAAATAAAAGATGTTGTGTCCACAGAAAACTAAAAAATAAATATTAAAAAATTCTCTCTCTCTCTCTAAAAAAATAATAATCAATGAACATACAGAATTTGTACAATGTGAATTTGGAGTTTAGGAGGCTCTATACTGAATACATAAAAATCCAAATAACTGCAAAAGAGGTTTTAAAAATGTCATTTTAATTTTTACCATCAGGTGGCAGCTTAGGGTAAAAGATGAAAAAAAAATTAGAAACAAAGAATGTGCTGCATTTGCTTTAAGCAAGTGTTGGGTTGTTTTTGCTTTAGAACATTTCCTTTGTACACTTACATCTTGTCAACACTTAATGTGGAAACAATCAAATAATCCTAGAATAAATGTCAGAAAGCAAATTTTAAGGACATATGAAAGGCAAATCACAAAGCAAAACATGATATTTTTATTTTATGGGTATTATTGATACAAAGGCCTAATTTGGCTTTATCCCGGAAACATGATAAAATAACTTTGGCTTTATGCTGAGAACTATCAAACACACTAAATCAGAATAAAAATATTTTTCAAATGTAGTTATACAATTTAATTTTTTTTTGGCTTTAAGTGTTTCACATATTCTCTAAAATATTTCTTTGGTAAGTTCTAGAGTCATTATGATGCTCTAAGTGTTCTTTAGATGCAGGATACAGGTATAAAAATACTAATTTGGTTCTGAATTACCAGAAAAAAAAAGATGTAAAACATCTAAATTTTAAAAAAAGTTTCAATTTTGATCAGTTTCTCAAAGGTAGAGAAAACAAAGTCTATATCATGCATTATCCATAATCTTTCCTATTTACCTAGATAAGCATTTATTAATCATTTTAAGGCTAATAATATTATGTACAGTATGATTTCAAAGGTAATTATTGTAAATTTGTAATCTAGTATGTGAAATAGACATTTGTTATTGATGATAAATTTGAGCTCAAAATGAAGCACACACAAAGTTCTGTGAGAACATCACGAAGAACAGTAATATTTCCAACAGTAGGAAATGAGAGGAAGTAGCCTTTGAGTTATTTCTAGTAGAACAATACACAGTATTATAAAAGACAGATGAGGTAAGATCATTCAAGAATGAAGGAAGATAAAGAGAAGGCATGGGACAGGAAAGCACAAATGTTTAAAAGGCTACAAGTAATCAACATCAAGTGAAGGTGACATACCGAGGATGTGAGAGAACTGGTATGATTTGAAATGAAAAGGAATTTTGGGTCTGACTGTGGAAAGCCTTCTTGGGTCTTAGGAAAGGGGGAAAGATCTGTATTTTGTAAAAATAACTGGTTGGTCAGTTACTTACATCTGTATTACTTAGTTGTTTTTAAAAAATAGATACCTCAGAGCTCTAATGTTATGTCAAAGTCAGTTTGTATCAGCTCATAAGAATGGATTTGCTGAATAAAAAGAAATTTTGGATGCTTGTTGTTAAATACAAAATTAAAAATCAAGTCACAGTGATTTATTATCAGCTATATTAAAAATAAAAGTAATAAAATATAGTTCATCACTTCCTAATAGTACCAAATTTCACTATTATCTATTTTTTGAGGTTATATATATTTATTCTATTTGTATGATGGAAATACAGTGCTGTGTTCTTGTATATCTTTTCCTAACTCTATATTCAATGTTATTATTTTAGTAACCTAAAACTGGCTACAGTGGAAATATTTATACCATGGAAATCAGCAAACACTACAAATCAGTGCTCCCTATCACCACTCCCAACTAAGAGCTGGTTTGTTAAAGATATACTAGTATACATCACTGTTGAGCTTCTTCTCTTAGAAAGTTAGTGGTAGGGAAAAGTATCTGCTATTCAAAAAGTGGTTCACAAGTGATTCTTATGAACACCCCAGCTTGGATAAACATATTTTCAGGTTTAATTATTTCCATAAAAACTTTTCTTTATCAAAAGCATACTGGGAGTCTGGTGCAGTGATGCATGGCTGTAATACCAGCAATTCAGCAGGGTGGCGCAAGAGGGTCACAGGTTCAAGGCCAGTCTCAATGAGATCCTGTCTCAAAAAACAAAACCAGCATGTTGCTGTATACATGTAATCCTTATAGCTCTGGAGGATGAGGTAGGAGGATTCCAAATTCAAAGCCAGTCTCAGCAACTCAGTGAGGCCCTAAGCAACTTAGCCAGACCCTGTCGCAAAGTGAAAAAAAAAAAAAAAAAAAAAAGAGGGTGGGGGGTGGGGGCCGAGTTCAATCCCTGGAACCAAAAAATAAAATAAAAATAAAAACAACTAAAATATAGTTCAATGGTAGAGTGCCCCTGTGTTCGGTTCCTACTACCACATGCATGCAAACGCTCGCGCACCCACACAAATGTTGAATTGAATATCTATACGACATTGTATGTATGAATTATTAATTTAAAATGTCAAATTATTTATAACTAAATAGAGTTGGATGTATTCTGACATGTTTATTTCATTCTATACAGAAATACGGTCTTGCTGAGTAGAATCATTCAATCACTCCTATCATGGTTGTTTTAAAAAAGAATGCTATAATTCATATACAAAGGTTTGCAAAGAATAAAGTAAATTTAGCAACTTAATAAAAGTCATTCTTCTCATGTTTCCACAAGATGAACACGAAGAGATGAAGACAAGCAACTTAACTATAAATTATACCAGCAACTTTTAAGTTGAATTTTTAGCATGTGCCACTTATTCTACAAATATTACTTTACTAACTTTTCCAACACAATGATACCATTTTGTTTGCTAGTACAAGTGAGGACATGAGAATAGAGTAATAGATACATTAGGTAGAAAATTACAAAATGACTATTTCTCAAATGAGCATATGTACTATCAAGTCCTACTAGTGAAAACCGATTCTTTCCTTCTTCACTAATTACTGAAGAAATAACTGAGTTTAATTTATCAAGTAAAATGAGATTGTAGAAAAAGTGAAATAAAAACAATAGATAATGAAACTAAAAGCAACGTACTAATTTTTCAGTATTCCTAGATTTTTAATCCTATCCTTACAGTATAATTCTTAAAATGGCACAATGGGTCAGGTATTTCTCTTATTCAAGCCCATATTATTTCTGTGAAACTTTAATGAAACACACACGAGGAATGACTTTTAAATAAACATATATTCTTATAGAATATTTCACAGGAAGCAATATTTATCTTATGGACTTCCTCAACGATTAGCATATACTTGGTCTACATTTTAGTCTCATTTTAATTATTGCCCTCATTTGATCTTCCCCATTTCCCAAATGAAGACTGCCTCTCCCTGAAATCATCTGCCTTCATTGGTATTCAGAGGATATACTGAAAAGATATTATCACTTTAGGCAAGCAATTACATCTTATTCTCTCTTGGCTAACCCCAGTAGTCCACTTTAGTGATGTTCAGAATCACAGAAAATCAAGTCATTGCTATTCTACCCTAAGCTTATATCTATTACACACCTGCCACATTAGAAGCATAATTCATACTGAACATATTTATGGTAATAACATCTGCTGAATCAAAAACAAACAAAAATAAATTTCTTAGAGCTGTGTACCCACAGTCATTGTAGGAATGATAAAAGTGAAATAATGAGTCAGGAAAAGTGGTAATAGAGAAACCAGAATAATTACATACAGAAATCATTCTAAATCATGTTTCAGGAAAGAAATTTTGAAAAATGAAAAAAAGCAACACCCTGTCAAGAGAGAAAGTAAATAGTTTTCTTTTCACCTTATATCTTTCTGCTGTGGTAAGCTTATTAGTATTTAATCTGAAATTAAACACAAAAATGAGAGAGTAGACATAACTTTCAAAACCCCAGCCTATGATTGAGCTTTAATATCTGGCAAATCCTCAATCTATTCTTATAACCTAAACAAACAAAAAACTTGCTGAATTATAATTAGTGATGTTTTCTGAAAAATGAATTAATACACAATAGTTCCCAACTTATGATGGTTTGACTTCCAGTTTCTGACATTATAAGAGCGTGAAAGCCATATGCATTCAGAAGAAATCATTCTTTGGATTTTGATCTTTTCTTAGGCTACTGATGACAGGCAGCAGCAGTGAACACAGATATGGTAAACCATGAGACTGTGATTGTAAACAATTAACACTATATTATATTGTGTTTCTAAGCAATGATGTTTAGAAGGTTAGGTGTATTAAATGCATTTTTCACTTTGCAATACTTTCCGTCTACAATGCGCTTATTGGGCTCCAAACATACAATAAGTTGTAAGCTAAGAACTCAGTAAATATTCTCCTGATCTTTACTGTGTTTTATTTAAAAGGGGAGATCACATGTAATTACTCCCTTGGTGATTACCATTTTTAGCCTGAGGGCATTATTATTCCCATTTTACAGTTTAAGAGTGTCAGTAAGTGGGAAGATAACTGAATTTGAAATTAGAGAAGACCTGGGTTTGAATCCAGACCCCAATTTTGTGATTATAGAAAATTTATACTCTTAAAATGATTGACACAAAAATGGAACTGATTAGGACTAAGTATAAAAAGGGAGAACCAGAAATAGGAATCTTCATGCAAGAAGTGTTTTGTACTAGATGGTGTTGTTTCTCCATGTTCATCTTGACTTGAATATGAAAAAACAGTTTCACAAGACTATGAACATTAAAAACATTTCTAAGAGTACTGGGGGAATGGCTCAGAGGTCAAGTGCT